TCCATACAACAACCGCAGATCCTTGAGCTTCTTACCACGCTCGCTGTCCCCGAACGCTGAACCGTTATCTGGTATCTGTGTATATGGATTATCTCTCGTAATAGTAGAAAAATTCATCGCCAGCAGTGGCCCTCGAATCACCCAAGACGCCAGCACGAGATTAACCACACACGCCCCGAGCGGAACCACAACAGCAATGAATAACAAAACAAGCCACGTCATAGAGCAAGTAAATATTAACTCTTCAGTCCATACCTCAGCTTCCGCGGTCTCAAAATTAAGAGGTAAACCACTGTTCTGTCGACTCGGGACGACGCCGGCAGTATAGTTTCTCGTTTCCGCATCAAGGACGTAATGATCTCCTGTAGCTGCAATCAAATAAGTGTTTAATACCTGAGCTATCAAAGCCGCGATATCAAGGGGTCTAGTCTGCGTTGCATTCTCCATCTTTTCCTTGAAAACTAGTCGTTCTTGATCACTAATGGCGTAACCGGAATTCCTGTCTTCGAGTTCTAAAATGAGGGAGATATAACTGGTGAGAGCAGTTGGTTGATACGTGCGGCCTGGGATTCCCTCCAAGAGGTCCATGAAATATGGAAGATTGCCTCTGATCCCGACTTCGTCGTCCAGGAAGGTATAATTCGCGGATGGATGTTGTCGTAGGGATCTTCTTGCTTTAGAAGCGACGCAGGATCGTTTCCGACAGAGGACTTCGGTTTCGATGTAGGTTTGTTGAATGTGACAATCTGCGATGAGATGTTCCCACCAGGCCATATTGAAGACGATTCGGCGAGATGGTAGGTTTGGTGAGTCTTTTTGAGAAATGATATTGTCTTCGCGGTCGGTAAATACATTTAGCCCACTGTAGCGAAGATTCTCTGAGCCGATGTAGGTATGCGTATAGTTGTAACGAAGTGTCGGGGAGATTCGAGTCTGGGAGGACCTCACCAATTTGTCCGACTCCAATCTTGGAACACTTCAGAGTCCAGTACGAGGTTTCAAGTGAGAATCGGCTTGAGGAATCTGATGCGTCGGCTCTCCGGACTGGAACACCGAGAAGTGACGAGTACATGATCGTGGTGAGATTGGAAGCGTCGTACCATCCGGCATTGAGTTTCACATCCTTTGCTTCGAGAGCTTCGATTGAAGGAATCTTTACATTTCCCCAAAGATCCATCGGCGAGTTTGAATTGTTGCGGGAACTGGTGATGGCTCCGCCAAAGACATTGGTGACTCGGGAAATGGCTCCGATTCGCGCAGTGTCGCGGTATGGAATATTTCTTGTGTTGTTTGAGCTGAAATACGAGAATGAAGCAGCGGTCTCTGTCATGTTGGGCTTCCAGGAAAACGCTCTGCCGGCGGCCTGTCCACCAATTGGTGATAATGCCCATATCAAAATTAAAATGATTGTGATGTAGCTTACACTGAGCATGCTGAGGGCTGTGACGACGGTGTTTGTGACGGTTGTGCTTCCTAAAAGTTGATCAAGAACTTCGAGTCGCTCTCCTCTCTCCACGCGGTACATGGAAAGCAGTTTAAGAAAACGTCCCAGCGTGGCAGCAAAGAGAATTGGGAATAAAGTGGGAATCTAACGGCGACCCATTAGACAAATCATGTATTATGGGAAGGCAGATGCTTGACTTACAATGACTTTGCCCTGTGAGAAGAGGTTGTCGCTGAACAGGATGTTGTCGTGTGTCAATCCATTGCTTTTGGCAATAGCAATAGAAAAAGCCAGAACACCAAGCCATCCACAGAGAAAAATCAAGTCTCCGAGGATTCCGAATACAATCGATTTGGTGAATTGTTTGAGTTTCTGTGGTTCGTGCGGCCAGTCTTGGATGTTTAGGGTTCCATGAGTGTCGCCATATGCCGGATCTGTAAACGAGGCGTGGAATTGAGGGTGTATCTGAGAATGTGCCCGCACCGTGTCATAGTACCCGGTCGACACATAGGTGGCAGGATGATGATATTGGCGTGTGGACGGCATCACAAGCAAATTTGACGAGTGCTTTCTATCGTGAGCAAATCACCAATTTTTCCTGCCTGCAAAGAAAGTTGAAGATGCCGCCTCTTATACATTTTATTCCCCAAGTCAAATGACAGAAAACGAGCCTCAATGAACCCTGCAGCTACTGTGAAACACAATCTAACCCATTACAGATCCTAAATGTCCAGCTGGTCACTATATTTATCACCTTGCAGCATGCTATGAGATCCTTCGTCAGCAACTGGACGCCAGATATGCCGGCCAAGAGCCTTGGGGCTTTTGGAATCACCAAAATATCTGATTCATCACACTAACACGCAACCATCTCAACAAGGCTCTCACCCTCTCGGCCCTCCCGCACTCAAAAACCCAAAATCCCCTCCCTCCTCAGCAGAATTGACCTCCCTCATATACAACCCCCTATACCCCCTCTCCCCCCCCCTCCTCACCCAATTCCCTTCTTCCACTTCCCTCCTCTCCTCCCTCCTCCGTTTAATCTCCTCCTCCCCAACCCCCAAAACCCCCAACCACCTCTTCTCAACATCAACCCCGACCAAATCCCCATCTCTCAATAATCCCAAAACCGAACCCGGATCAGCTCCCTCAGGACTAACATGCAAAACTATAGTGCCCCCTGCCGTACCGCTCATTCTTCCATCACTTATTCGCAACATGTCTTCGATTCCCTGCTCTGCTAGTTTTCTTGGGATGGGGATTAATCCTGCTTCTGGCATTCCGGGATTGCCTACTAGTCCTATATTTCGTAGGATCAAGACGGAGTTGGCGTCTACGTCTAGGGTTGGTGAGTCGATTCGTTGGGCTAAGTCGGCGGAGGAGTTGAAAATGACTGCTTTGCCGGTGTGTTTTAAAAGATGGCGGTATTTTGAGGCGGAAGCTTTGATTACTGCTCCGCCGGGGGCTATGTTTCCTTCGGAGAGGATAACAAGGGATGAAGAAGGGTATAGAGGGGAAGAAAGCGAGTGGATGATGTTTGATGTGAAAGGGAAAGGGCGGAAAGGGGTTGCCTCAAGTTCTTGACCCAGGGTTTTACCAGTTATTGTTAGCGCAGAGATATGTAAAAGAGGTTTTAGGGTGTGTAAAAGAGCTAGCATGCCGCCTGCGTTGTGGAAATCGGTCATGTAGTTTTGCCCGGAGGGTTTAAGGTCTAGTATCAGCGGGGTTTTGCGGCCAATTTCGTCTATGGTTTTTAGTGTGATAGTGCCTGCGAGAATTGGATGACGGTTTATGATTGCCATTAAATGGATTATAGCATTTGTTGAACCTCCGATTGCTTGAAGGACTGTTATTGCGTTGAGGAAAGATTCTTTTGTCAGTAGTGATTGAGGGGTGAGTTTGTTTTTGATGAGGGAGACTGCGATTGTGCCGGTAGATTCTGCTATGCGAAGACGAGCAGAGGATACGGCTGGGGCTGTGGCGGAGGGCAGGGAGATGGGCATGAGACCGAGGGCGACGAGGATACATGCCATGGTTGATGCTGTGCCCATTACTCCGCAGGTTCCTGAGGTTGGAGCGAGTTCTTCGTTGAGTGAGGAAATATCTTCGATATCAAGGGTTCCGGCTCGGAATTTGGCCCAGTTGTTACGACAGTCTGTGCAGGCGCCGATCCGGACGCCTTGGAAACTGCCTTGCATCATTGGGCCGGTTACGAGGTGGATGATTGGTTTGTTGGCTGAGATTGCGCCCATTAATTGGGCTGGGACGGTTTTGTCACAGCCTGGGTTGTTAGTATTTGAAATTTGAGTGAGAGAGTGTTTACTTACCCCCTATTAAAACAACAGAGTCCACCGGTTGGGCCTGGATCATCTCCTCGGTGTCCATGCTCATCAGGTTTCTTAGATACATGCTTGTAGGTGAAGCAAAAGATTCGTGCAAGCTGATGGTGGGAAAGTCAATAGCAAGTCCACCGCTCAACTGCACCCCTCGCTTCACGGCATCAATGAGCTGAGCAATATTGGCATGACAAGGGTTGAAGCTTGAGTATGTGTTAACAATTCCAACGATGGGTCGTGAGAGGGCATCTTCGCTGTATCCAAGTGCTTTGATAAAGAGTTTTCTCATAAACAGAGAAAAATGCGGATCTCCATAGGATGCCAACTTCTGTCGAAGACCAACACTGTTGGGGTCGATGGGTTTGGAGAGGTCATAATCTGGGGTTGGTGTTTCTGCCATAGTTGATAGTCTGATGAGGTTGTGAGATTTTACAGAACGAAGAGGGGTAAAGTTTTCAGTTCCAGAAAGAGATAAGTTGGGACTACACTACACTGCATGACGCCATCCACTTGCTGCAGCATGCAATATCCGAGGGTAGTATGGTCAAAATACACTCTACGGTATATAGAGCGATAAATACTGTGATGGAACAACATGGAGTGGATTTCATTATTATGCCAGGGCGTGTGGCTCAGTTGGTAGAGCGCCCGCTTAGCAAGTTCATGCGAACAAAATATGCGGAAGGTCCCCGGTTCGATTCCGGGCTCGTCCAAGAAGTTTTCTTTTTGTATCCCCCTCTCCTAGGAGGAAACTGAATCCGAAATCTTTTTGTGTTGTTTTTGGGAGCACGCGTGCGCAGTGGGTTCTTTTGATATCTTGATGGAAATACTCTCTTTCGTTGTTCCTGATTTCACTCTCCGTCCTCTGTTAAGGACAGTAAGGGTGGTTGTAAACATCAAACACCATAACCACCTTTCAGCCCGATTAGCTCAGCTGGTTAGAGCGTCGTACTAATATTCATCTATTGCGGGTAAATATTTGGTAAATGCGAAGGTCAACAGTTCAATCCTGTTATTGGGCATTTTATTTTGTCTGGAAGCTGTCTCCTCTTTTTTTGGGTTTTTTTTTTGCCCGCCGAATCTCCACTCACACCAGGAGAAAATTTTATGCTGCCAAAATGCCGCAAAATCCAACCCACACAACCCGGGAAACTCTCTGACTCAAAACAGGCATTCCCGACCAAACTCTCTCACCAAATGGCCACGGCTTTCCCTCAAAAGCCCGGCTAGCTCAATCGGTAGAGCGTGAGACTCTTAATTATCAGGATTCTCCGGTAAATCTCAAGGTTGTGGGTTCGACCCCCACGTCGGGCTCAATTCCCGTCCACGATGTGGCCATTTTCTTTATTTTTGTTTTCTTTTTCTTTTTCATTATCTATATCGTTGGTATATACTTTAATTGCTTCCATGCCCCCCTGAATGATTATGATATCATGTTGTGACGTTGTTGTGAATACATGCTACAACCACCGGCATACCTATCCAATCAGTGATCATCACTCTTCTACTTTTGTCTAAATAAAACAGACAGTAGAATGCCATAGAATTTCCAACGCTATCAAATATCGAGTGTAAGTCGATATCGGAATGCTCAATGCTGTTTACAGGATAGATCCATCGGCCACATTCCGGCATGTTCCGACAGTCAAATTCTCTGTTTCCGGAGTCCAGACCTCACTTCGTCATCACGATCCCTCTTCGACCCTTATTTCCGTTTCTGGTAATCAGCTTAGATCTCCCCTCTAGAACTCTTCCGCTTAGTTTCTCATCAAAGAACAATGAAAACCCTTCGCTTATAAACCGAAAAAGTCTCCTGATATCGTCGGTAACTTAGAACAAAGAAATCTTCGTAGCTATTAAACTGCCGGAAATGAGCTCCTGTTAGAGAAAAGAAATGGAATCAAAACAAGCTATTCCTATCATGAGAATCTACATCCTCCAAGACCAAGTAGATTGAAATCATCACATCAAGAAGTTGCGTGTCTAAAAGTTGAAAATATGGGAGCAACCTCAACAGACATGAGCCGCCGTCCAACAATAGGCAGCACCGCCCGAGCCTGCCATGTGATCCTCCGTCCCTTCGAGCTCGCCTGCAGCGTCATCGTCCTCGGTCTTTTGTCCAGAGCAATCTACCTCATCAACCAGGCCGACATTGGCCAAGACTCACGGATCCTCTACGCAGAAGTGCTTGCAGTCATTAGCACCTTGTTTTCTTTACTCTTCGTCCTGCCTTTCCTATACGCTTATTTAGTTGCTCCCGTTGATGTTATTTTGTTTATTATGTGGATGGTTGCGTTTGGTTTGTTGGCTGCTGTAAGTCAATCCAACAACTGAAATTTTATTGGAGAGGATACTGATGAAGAAAACAGAGAACCGGCACAAATGTTTGCAATTCCTGGTGGTATTGGAACTACTGGGGATGGGCATGGGGCAGATGGTACATTGACGGAGTCCCGAACCCGGCTTGGAGTTTTTATAATGCCCCTGGATGTGCCTCGTATCGAGTCGTGTTGGCGTTTTCTTTCATGGTTTCGATTGCGTATTTGTTGAGTGCTATTTTGGGTGCAATCATTACGAGTCGGTATTGGAAAAAGGATAGGCCGGTGTAAGTGAACTTGAGTCAAGCTGGGAGATAAGAATCACGAACTGATATTTGAATAATAGGAGTACTCATAGAACGGCTACTAGAAATATCTCGGCGCCGATGGCGACTAATCCGCCTGTTATGGCGCAGTCCGGTGGTCCTCATAGGCCTGCTGAGACTAGTGTTGGGACTGCGGTTGATGTTGAGAGGGCTTAAGAGGTTGATAACGGAAGATTGTTTTCTTGTTGTGTTTTCACAATTATTGAGAGCCGGGATTTATTGGAAAAGGAAAAAGGGAAACAACTTGATAATGTCTAATAACAATGAAGAAGAAAAAAGTACCAAAAATGTATGCCCAATAACAGGATTGAACTGTTGACCTTCGCATTACCAAATATTTACCCGCATTGGATGAATATTAGTACGACGCTCTAACCAGCTGAGCTAATCGGGCTGTAGGGGTGACACTGATTGGTTATATGTCAGAGGGAGAAGTTGGTATATCATGCCGAATCCTAGAAGAACTCTCTTCTCTTCTCCAAGATTCAACCTTGTTGCAGATGTTCCGGGCCGAATATTTCAATATCCACTCTGGATATCATCGGAACGAATGTGGATTCTTGGGTTCGGGGACTACATATAGCCGAACGAAAGCCGTTTATCTTTTATGACAGTTATCGTTGACCAATGGATTACGTTTTTAAAGGAAGAGCTGAAAGACGGAGAGGTTGGTTCCGTATTGTTGTTTGATATAATGGTGAATTGGCATCTTTTAAACAGTTGCGAGCTCGGAGTGTTTAAATCAATGGTTTTACGTAAACCCGTTGGCGAGCGGCTTGTTCAAGATAGGTAGGTCGTTTTAAAGTAGCGCCATTTTGATTTGACCGTTCGAGACTGGACCATTCACCATGAGAAAAGAAATGGTGTCGGGTGTCGTTGCCTGCCCCCAGTCGACGCTACGGATTCAGTGACGTAGTTTCTCCATTCTTGGCAACATTATTGAGATTGCAATGAGACAGCAGAGAGAGAGAGAGAGAGGGAGGGAAACATTACCAACGACAATGCCGCAACATCCGGACACCAAGAGCATTTGGGAGTAGTGAACCAGAAAAAGGGAGGCAGAACCAACAATTGCAACAAAACCTGCAGTGTCTACCCGCAATATTGAACAGCTGTCCAGTGTGAAAAATGAGGGAAATGCAATGCGACTCGCCAAGGGACGGAATAGCCTCCAAGACCTGCATCCACGGCTCTTCTGAGGTCCTCTCACATGCACGATGGGCAATGGTAAGATTCCACATGCTTGGTTTCACTTTGAAGAACATGCAATGTCGTTCGTTTTGGGATAGACAAAGAAATCGCTAGCGCGGGATGTCGGGATATGGTTACACGACGCCGACGCCGGCCAGGATTATTAACACCCAACCCAAGAATCAAAGCAAATCACCTCATGGCGTCCCCAGGTGGCATCGAGAGCGCGGGGAAACAGGGCCCTGAAAAAGAGATGGTCTGGGGGCCGGTTGACATTTTGGACGGATTATCTAACACCCAAGAGATAAGGAAAGGTGGGGTGAACTAGAGGGAATTGTTTTCCAAACAACAAACAAACAAATATTTCAGTGGCAAACTGAGGGAATGTGAAAAAAGAAGAATTCGGGAGAACCGAGGACATGTTTGCTTCCTTCTGAAAAAAAAAAAAAAAAAAAAAAAAAAAGCAATCACCGGCATCACCGCGGAGTGTTGCAGTCACAAATGGGAAAATGTAAAAGACGCGGGTCGCATGCCCATTTCCCTCGTTGAGCGGGAAGAAACGGGTGGTGTGGGGTTTGTTACTGAGTGGGATGGATGCTGCATGGCGTGGTTTTGGCGCCGCCAATCCTGCAGCCCCAACTCCGGAGTTCGGGGGCCCTTGTCCAGGGGTGGGGAGCCACCAAATTCCGAGAGCTTGTGAAAATCCCCATTTATCTGCCGCACACCCAACTTCGAAAGAGAGTCTCTCTTCTGTCTCTTCAAGCATCCAACTTGCCAACCGCTCAATTCTCCTCCATCGACAATTTTCCCGCGTCAATTCGCATCCGATTTCCCACAAAAACAGCCATCGTTGAGAGGAGAAAACTGAACGGTTGAGCACCTCACAAAACACACTTTTAAAAACTATACCAAGATGTTTGCCACCAGAGTTCTTCGTCAGGCTGCTGCCCACGCCGAGCGCGTCCCTTCCATTAGATTTATTGGAAAGCGGACAATTCCTGGTATGTTTTTTTTTTTTTGTTTTTTTGAAGCAAAACTTTCTCGGGTTTCTCGGTAAACTGACAAAACCTCCTTGGCATTAGTTCACATCGACCACAGCCGTCAGCCTCACCCTCAGTCTCCCACCAACTCCCTTCCTTCCTCCTTCACCAACGGGTCTTCCCACACTTCCTTCAGCGCCTACCGCGACCATGCTCAGCAGTTCGGTCCTCTTCGAAAGACCATCACCCCTGAGGCCGGCATTGGCGGCGCCGCTGGCTCCCAGCTTGGCTCAGTAGCCCCTCCTCCCGGTATCTTCTTTGACCGTAACGACCTTCCTACTCGCTTCCACAGAACTTCTCTCACCCTCGACGAGATCGAGGCCATCGAGAGCGGTGGTGCCGCAGCTTTTGCTTAAGCACCCTGTGAACAATAACGACACTAAAAATATTTCTTTCTGGCGCCATCACCTGAAATGGGATGAGCCGTTGTTTTTTTACTTTATCGTTTAGCGAGGACAAACTCCTCCATCATTAGAGGGCCACTCGAACATATCCGAGATGACACCACAAAAGATACCAAGGAGATCGGATCTTCAGGACAGGAACACGCAGTATAGTACGGCGGAAGCTGTACATTTCTTAGGCGCGTGCCAAAAAAGGACTGGATCACGGCACGGCAAGGCAAGGAACACAAAATGGGCTCATGAGCATGGAACTGCCTTTCTTTTGTTTATATATAGGCGCATCATTGTATATGCAGGACATGAAATAATGTCTTGTGTGTTGGTTTTGAAGGTGGTACATAGGGGACAAGAAGGCAGGAGAGGCTTGTGTCTCAATAATATGAGATGTAATGCCTCCATGGCTTCCGGGGTGGTAGAGCAGATAGTAGGCAGAAGAGAGTCAATAAAAGACACTTCAAATTCACTTTTTTGGTGTTTTCCTTGTGACTTTGGCTGTCATCTCTACCATGTCCTGGGCTTCCCCAATTCAGGAGTTGGTTCGGGTTGTTGGAGACACAAAGTGACACATTGAGTTACGTATTAGCTCGGGAAGATTCGGAACCGTTTCTTGGTAGGAGGAGCCATGCTCGGGATTTGAGAATTGACGAACTCGCAAGGTTACTCTTGCAAAAATTGGATAATCGAAGGGAAGAGAAACCGCCAAAATACAAACAGATTTGTACATTTTCAAGTCGAACCAAAGCTACAATGCAATTAGTTGCCTTTTGTTGTCAATCGACGCCCAAGCAAGCCAAAAAAAAAAGTTGGCGGGGTTGACAGCTGACCAATCAGAAGCAAGATGATCGTTTGCGACAGGTGCCAAATTCCAATTGACTTTTGATGGCGCATGTCAGCCACGAACCTGTTCAACATTTTGAGTCAAAGCTCCTTTTTGACGTCGTCCTCCAGTCAATTCCATTTTCTTTTTGTAACCACAAGCTTTTTTCGTGGTTCCTGTTGATCAAACCACGTTGTCGACATCTCCGATAAATAACCCCACCTAACCGTACCCCACCATATTATCCTGGTGCTGCGCGGATAATGCACAACGATCTCCTCGACACTGTTCTCGTTAGTAAAGACGTCGCGTTGGGAGGAAAGGAAGCAGCAGCAGGCAAGATGAGCCCTTCGTCCAAACCAGAAGCTGGTGCGCCGGCGGCAGCAGCAGAGGATAAATGTCCCGTCGACCACAAAACCCGAGATTTATGGATGCAACAAGCCCGCGCAGCACAACAAGCAAAAGCTAACAACGCCTCTTCCAATATCGCACCGCCACCGCACCCAGTTCCAGTTCCAGAGTCAACAACATCCTCATCAAGCTCAAGCTGGTCCTCCTGGTTTCGCCTCCCATTCACTTCTTCAACTCCCACTTCTCCTCCTCCAGCTGCTACTCCTCCCCAAGCAAAACCAAAATCCATCCTAGACGAAACAAGAACAATTTCCTCAATCCCCCGTTCATCAACCTCCACCGACCCTTATGCCTCCTCCGCCTCTCGTCCCTCAAACCACGAACAAGAAACCGGTGCCTCCCCCTCAGGCCACTGGATCTATCCCTCCGAAAAACAATTCTTTGAAGCAATGAAGCGCAAAGGCTTCGCTTCTGCAAACGCAGCAGATATGAAGACCGTCGTACCTATTCACAACGCCGTAAACGAAAAAGCCTGGGCAGAGATTCTAAAATGGGAAGAACCGTATAAATCAGAGTCGGAAAAATGTGGAGGTCCGAAGCTTTATAGTTTTGCTGGTGAACAAGGCAAAATGACACCCAAGGCAAGATTGAATACCTTGTTGGGGTACACGGCTCCGTTTGATAGGCATGATTGGGTTGTTGATAGGTGTGGGTCGGGAAAACAAGTTGAGTATGTGATTGACTTTTATTCGGGGAGGGGTGGAGGGGATAGACTTAATTTTTATCTGGATGTGAGACCAAAGCTGAATTCGTGGGAGGGGATTAAAATGAGGTTTGCAAAGGCTACTGGGTTGGTATAAAGGAGGATGTAAGATATTGGACTGTATGAATAGAAAAGGAAGGGTTGGCGTTTGGATGGTTAACAAAAAATCTCATTCTTGCTTTGCAGACCGCTCGTTGTCTGCTTTGGTATCTCGAGAGTATAAATAAAATAACAACATCTCCGGTCTAATCTTTCATGTCCTGTTTCCCATGTGACCGTCCAAAATAATCATGTCTTTAATCATGCTTTGACTCTTGATGTCCACCATGCCGCAACCCGTCTTTCTCGGATAATAATGGAGTTACTATAGTAGATGTCAGCCATATCCCTCATCAAGAACAGATAGAAAGAAAAACTCACCCTTCCTCCCCTCCCCAATCCTCACTCGAACAGGCAACCTAGTCTCCAAAGCATTACAACTCAAATCCCAACCCTTTTTTCTGAGTGCCTCAAAAATAACCTCCTTTTGTTCCTGACTAACATACCCCAACGGCATCTCATTCTCATAATGACTCTCCAACCCATCTTTCAACGCAGTATCAAAATGATACGCATGATTAACGGCATCAAACCATGCCGACAAAGGATTCGCTTCCCCTCCTTCTTTTAACGCAATCCTCATGTAAAAATATCCTCCTTTATGCCAAATCCCCATGAAATATCCCTCCGTTTCAAAATCATATTTATGATATCCTCCCCTCCCTGGTCCAGTCCATGACTTCAAATCACCATAATTACCAAAATCACAATATCCCGTATACTCCCCAC